ACCCTCGCCGCCGGCCGGCCGGGGCGAGCCCCCCGCCGCGGCGCCCCGAGCCCCCCGAACCCTGCGCCGCCTCCGCCGCTCCGTCGGACCGAGCAGGCCGGGTGCGGCGGTGTCCGCCTCGCCCCGCGCCCCCGGCCCCGGACCCTTCCCTCCGCACGCCGGCCTCCGGGCGCCCCATCCAGGCCGCGGCCCCGGGGGGCGTCCGGGACCCGGCGGGCGGCGAGGGGGCGGCTAGGGGGCGGCTAGGCAGGAGCAGGTGCGGGCCGGGCGGCGGGGGGTATTCCCGGCTCTGCACAGACGGGGCCGGGGGCGGCGAGGTGTGAAATGAGGCGCCGGGCGGCCGGGACAGCGGGCCGGGGGCGGCGGCGGAACCTCCCCCGCGTCCTGCGGGCCTTCCGCGCCCGCTGCCCGCTGCCCGCTGCCGGCTCCGTCCGCCTTGCCATCTCGGAGCGGCCCCCGCGCCAGGCCCTCCCTGGCCACCTCCGCTGGCCATTTTGTCTGGGTGCCGACCGTCCGTTTGTCTCTGGAATTTGATAGTGTCTCTGGCTTTTTTTTTTTTTTTTTTTTTTTTTCCCTCCCTGTTCTCCCATCACCCTCAATTTATTTCTCTCCCGGCCGGTCCTTTCCTTTTGTCTCTGATGTGGTCTTCTGTGTGTCTGTGTCTCCAGTTCTTTCCTTGGGAGGGGGCCTTAAGCCCGAGTGGGTGGGGGAATGGAGGAGCAGAAGGGGAGGAAGGGTTCTTCCTGCAGGGTGCTGCAGTGGCAGGCAGCTGTGGGGCTCCGGCTGTGGCCCTGGCATTTCTTTCCATACCCTTTGGCTTGGCATCCCTCTCAACTTGCCCAAGGAATGAATACCCCAGGCCTCACTGTTTTCCCCCACGCTGTATCATTTTGTTGTTTGTTGTGGCCAGTGAAGGAAAGAGCCTCTGGTCCTAGACAAAATGTAGCCTCACCTCCGCACCCCAGCAGAGAAGCCCTTTCGTGCCCACTTGATGCCGAACAAAGGAGGCAGCCTGTTGATGGGTAGCCGCATTGATGGCTGGGTTAGTTGCACCTTACAGGCCTGGGGAAGGTGCCTGGCTACAGCCCCCAAACTGCCCAGCTCCTGTTTCCTCTTCAGGGTGCGTCTTCATCTCCTGGGCCATTTTCATCCTCATATGACCATTAGTCACCAAATCCTGCAGGATTTCCCGAGGCTCTGCCTGTTTACCTGACCCTTCTCTGCTGCCGTGCCTGGCAGAGCATTGGGGCCGGTTCTGTCTAGACTCTTCTAGGCCCTCTTTCTCCTCTGGGCCCTCTTTCTCCCCTTCTACCGTCAAGGTCATTTCAACATCTAGATGTTTTCTGTCAGCCACTGGGTTTCTTCTTTCCTTCCTTTGAACCCTTTTCCTCACCCTTCACTTAGCACCCCGCTTAAACTCCAGGCTGCAAACCTTGTCATCACAATTCCACCTGTCGAGAGTGTCTTCTAGGCTTGTGTTTTCCTATGATGGCGTCCTCATTCATCCGCATTACAGTCACTCCCTCCCTTTGCCCCACAGTGATTTGTTCAGACCCACCTCAGCCTCTCCCTGGAGGAAGTCATGGCATACACATTTGTCTCCCCCTAGATTGGGCTCCTTGCTCTGGGGACCAAATAGGGATGGGTTCTGAACCCACCTTCATCTCCCTGTCTCTTCTGGGAACACCAGAATCATGCACACTCATTCTCCATCTAGGAAAGGGCTTTTCATTTAAGAAATAAACCTGCCTCCCTACTCTTGAGTTTCCTGGTATCTGGGTGTCCCCAGCCTCTGCTCACCCCTTTAGCGGTGTTCTCTCCAGCCAGGTGGCCCCCAGCCTCCCCCCATTTTCTGATGGGATCTGTATGATCTAGAATGTCATCTTCTCTCAGGGATCCTGTTTACTCCTGTATTTCAGGACCTTTTCTGTGCTGAGTTCTTTTACTCTGCTCTTTCCTTGCGGGGGTTCAGGAAGGACAGTGGGGTCAGTGAGAACTGGGATAGGCTAGACCCCCAAAACACAGTTAGTTTGAGCCCTGTCTGTGGTGTCCCCAGGTAGGACCCAGCCCTATTGTCAAAGTGTGTAGGCAGACTAAGCTCCAGGCAACATGGGCTTGACTCCTCCGAATCCAGGGTTCGTGCCCTTACCTCCTCGGCTGCAGCGGGCAGGAACCTCTTTCCATGACAACCCTGCTTGCTCTGTGCGTGCACTCTCGTTTTGTTGCGATGGGAGGGGGCCTTCTGTGTGTCAAGGCTACCCTTCAACTCCTCATCCTCCTGCCTCAGCTTCCTCTGTGCTGGGATTTCAGGCATGAGTCATCACACGAGTTCCACTGCCCTTTCAAAGGACCTCCCTTGCAGCCCCTGTCTTGAGAGGAGGGGGCAGACAGGGTTTGGGAACTGAGGCATTGGAGCAAGGCTGAGAGAGAGGTGTGCTGAGGCCTGTTTGTGGGCGCCATGCTCACATTACAGCTTCCTTTCATGTTTCTCTGGCACTTTGATCCATTTCTGACAAAATCCTCCCCTATTTCTCAAGGCCTTTCTCATGCGGTCCCTGGCGTCTCCCCACTGGAGCTCACTTGAGAACAGCCGAATTCCTCCAGCAGCAACATCTGCCTGCCGCCGTGTTCCCCAGTGTCAGGTCCACATCTGTTCCCCTCACTAAGGACCCTTATCATTCAGGAAGAGTGATCGGTTTGCATTCCTGGGCTGCCTCTCACAGTGTAGAAATTTGGTCAGTGTCTAGTTTCAGCTCCACCACCTGCCAGCTGTGTGGCCCCTGCCAGTTCTTGCCTCCTCCGAGCCTTTCATTTCATGTTCATTTGTTAAAACATTAGACCACTCTGCTGTAAGATACTTTCCAGGTATGGAATTCTATGGCCTCGTATATGGAAGGAGAGAGAGGCTGGGTCTGACTGTTCATCTGAGTCCCACAGGCCCGCAAAGTTTCAGGCATGATGGGTCCAGCGAAGGGGCGGAGGTGGTTCCAACGTCTGCTCAGGCAGGCCCTCAGCTTGTCGGCCCGAGAGTGGCCAGGTCGGTTCTGGGGTCAGGCCCAAGGGTGAACGTGTCGCCTGCCTCAGTCTTTTCACAGAGCCCTCAGAGCCCCTCCCTGAGGAGCCCCCGCTCGAGGGGATGGCCCACTGCCATAGGCACCCCGCGCCACAGTCAGGCTTCTCTCCAGAGAGGTTGAAGGCCCAGAGGCAGCTGTATGCCGCCTGTGCTGTGTGCTGCGTTTTCATGGCTGGCGAGGTGGTCGGTAAGTTGGGGGCACCCCTCCTCTCCCATGTTCTGCTCTTCCTAGGCCACTCTTCACCAAGAAACCTATGCTTCCTGGGTGGAAAAGCAGGGAGAGAGAAAGGCAGGGACGGGCTGGTGTGGCTGGAGCACTTAGGGGGTTCAAGGTGAACCAGCACGAGGGGTGTGGGCCAAGGCCCTCTGGGAACTGGCCTTTTAAAAGCTCTGTTCTCTTGTTATGGGAAATCTGGGGGGGGCACCTTATCACGTGAGAAGCCTCCAATTTTTTGTTGCTGTCCCCCTCTTTCTTTTTCATACCTGCGCACACATACTGCATAGTCCCTAGAATTTCAGGCTCTACATTCCCACCTTGCAGGTGGGTATTTGGCACACAGCTTGGCCATTATGACCGACGCCGCTCACTTGCTGGCAGATGTAGGCAGCATGGTGGCCAGCCTCTTTTCCCTTTGGCTCTCTTCTCGGCCAGCCACCCGCACCATGACCTTTGGCTGGCACCGCTCAGGTAAGCGCCTGCAGGACTTGGTGCCCCTCCAGCCCTGCCGGTAGCTTGGGGCCCTGACCTGACAGCGTGTTTCCCCTGCAGAGACCCTGGGAGCTTTGGCCTCTGTGGTCTCCCTCTGGATGGTCACTGGCATCCTCCTGTACCTGGCCTTCGTCCGCCTGATGCATAGCGACTACCACATCGAGGGGAATGCCATGCTGCTGACTGCCAGCGTTGCTGTCTGTGCCAATATGCTGTACGTCCCAGTGTGGAGTGGGCACCATAGGGTCCAGGGTGAGAGGGTCTTCCTCCAGGATGGTAGAGAGCCCTCTCTCTCTCTCTCTCTCTCCACACACACACACACACACACACTGCTCCATTGTCTTCACTGGGTGTTCCTGGAAAAGGAGTGGGAGAGAGACAGTTCAGCTAGGAGATAATTGTTGAGGGTCTCCTGTATACTGGCCCTTCTCAGGTACTTTTATTAGTATGGTCTTATTAAAGTCTCTCAACCCATGAGTGCTAATTTCCCTCCCATCTCCTGTTAATGTAAAAGATATTACCAGGGGGGACAAATGACTGTTTAAATAGCCGGTTCAGGTCCTGAGTCCCCATCTCGGGCCCTGTGTCTAGGCTCTTTTGTTCCTGACAGGATAACTTTTCTCTGTTAGGTAATGCTCTTTTCTTTCTGGGCTGGAAAACTAGGTGGAAGTGGGTACTGTCGGAGAATTGAGCGGAGGCCGAGAGCTGGCTGAACCGCTCTCTCCTCCTTCAGGATGGCCTTTATGCTGCACCAGACTGGCTCCTCCCACAGCCATGGACCTAGGGGGACAGAGTATGCACCGCTGGAGGAGGGCCGTGGATCCCACTCCCACTCCCCCTCCCAGCCCCACCCCCTGCGCCTGGGAAACACCAGTGTCCGGGCTGCCTTTGTTCATGTGCTGGGGGACCTCGTTCAGAGCATCGGGGTCCTGGTCGCCTCCATCCTTATCTACTTCAAGGTACTGTGCTGGAGGCTCCTGCAGCCTTCCTGCCCTGTTCTGCAGCCCACCCCTCCTAGGACCCTCTGCCTCCCACATTCACTTCAGCTTCTAGCTTCCCAGGGCCTCTCCCAGCTTGCGTCCCTCCCCCTCTGCGCGATTCTCAGGGTCTTATCAGGTTCTGTTTGCAAAGATGGCCCCAGAGCCTCCTCCGAGAGATCAGCACTTCTTAGTCTGAGCTATCACTCTCTCTACAGCCTCAGTACAAGGTGGCTGACCCCATCAGCACTTTCCTCTTCTCTATCTGTGCCCTTGGATCTACAGCCCCTACCCTTCGAGATGTTCTCCGCATTCTCATGGAAGGTGAATTCAACACTGATGCCCCCCCACCGGGGGGCCCTCCCTCAGTTCCCATCCCTTCTCTAAAACAGTGTAAGAAGTCTGGCTCCTTCTTTCTGGCTGTTGCCAGAAAGAGGCCCAGGGCCAGCAGGGTGGGTGAGAAAGAGACTGGGGAGAGTGGAGTGTGTCGGGGCTGCTTCTGGGCAGGGCGGGCCCTGGCTGCAACATGGCAGTGTTGCTTGCAGGTGCCCCTCAAACCGTGGGATTTGAGCCTGTGAGGGATGCCTTGCTGTCAGTGCCAGGAGTCCGAGCGACCCATGAGCTCCACCTGTGGGCCCTGACGCTTTCCTACCATGTTGCCTCTGCACACCTGGCTATTGGTGAGTCAACACCCCCCAGCTGGCACCTCCTCCGAACCAGGCCCTCTGCTTGCACATGTGGACAGCCTGGGGTACTGAGGTCTTGTTTGTTTGGGACTGAGTCTCACTTTGTACCCAGGCTGTCCCTGAGGCCCTCCTGCCTTAGCCTCCTGAGTGCTGAGATTACATGTATGAAACACTTGGCCTATTTCAGTTTTCTTGATCTCCATCTCCGTCTCTGTCTCTCTCACACACACACTCACATGCATGTTTGTGTGCTTACTTACGCGTACACACTCTGGAGACAAGGACGCCTGGGCACTGCAATCCCATCTCTGAAACAGCATGGGGAACGTAGCGCCTTTAAAGCATCACCATGACTTCCAGGATGTAGTTCAGTGATCTGCATTGCTCTGTAGGGTATCACATTGCTATTTAAAGTGGTGATTATGAAGCCTGTATGGCAACCAGGGAAAATGTTGTGGTATAATGCTTGAGGGGAAAAAAAAGCTGAATATAAATTATATCTACATTATGATTCAACTATTAAAATATATATACAGTGACTCATGAGCTGACAAAGGGTTTTTGAGCTTCTCCCAGATGCAAGAAGCAATCAGAGGCATGCAATTTGGATGCCCAAAATATCATAACTTGGGGGATGTTGGATGTTAACTCAAGGGGGGCAGTAGGGCAGAATCCTTTCCATCTGGCTTGTCCTGGAAAGATGTGGCCCCTCAAATAGCCATATATTGACGTTCAAAGGCAGAAGAAATAGGTGGCTGGGCACAGTTTAATTTGTTATCACAGTCATTTGGAGAGAGTCTCTCTCACATTTTCTTTACAATCGTATGCTGTTCATATATCGCAGAAGGAAAATCAAGACCCCCCTATTCAGGCGTTTGGGGATGTGCTGTGCATGGGCCCCTTCACTCCTGTCAGCCCTCGGCTGTGCCCGACTCCCCAGAGACTGAGCTGCCTCTTATCGCCCTTGCACAGACTCCACAGCTGACCCCGAAGCTGTCCTGGCTGAAGCCTCATCCCGGCTCTATTCCCAGTTTGGAATCGCCAGCTGCACCCTGCAGGTGGAGAAATATCGGTCTGAGATGGCCCGGTGTAAGCACTGCCGGGAGCCCCGCCACTGAGCCTCAGCCGCACCTCACCCCACTGCCGGGCCCAGGCCGGGCCCAGGCCGGGCCCTGGACTCTCTCGCACCTGCCTCCACAATCACAGAAAGGACCGTTCTCTCTCCATGTTTCACCTGCCAGACACCCCAGCCCCTGCCCTGGTGGTCAAGACCAAAGCATGTAGGAGGGCAACAGGGGGAAGGGAGGATCAGACTGAATAGCTGGGAGCAGCTCAGGGGTGTGGGGTGTGTGGGAGCCCCACCATCCGTGCTCCACACGGCCTGGAGAGTCATGCTTGTCCTTCCCGTGCAATTCATGTGTCCTGGTGGCAGGCTGGCTGGCTAGCTGGGGACATCTGCCTGTCTTTGTGCTGTTCGTGTGCCTATGCCTGGGGAGGTCATCAGGGGCCCCCTCCCTATGTGATCCTTGCTCTGTCTATGCAGGGGCCCCAAAGCCTGCACTTTGTCTGTGTGCCCCACCACTGTGGCGTTGTCTGTCGTGTGTGTGTTCTTTGGTTCTGTGGCCTGTGTGTTCCTGTGCCCGTGTGCCTGTGCTGGTGTCTGTGAGTCTGCTCCACCCGTGTGTCCATTTAGGGATCTGTCTGTCCATCCCTCTGTTGGTGCTGTGTTCTCAGCTTTCCCCCAGGGGGAGGGGGGACACCACTGCAGCTCCACCAATAAACTTGTATCTAACTGCATCTCTGTACTCTGCCTCCTCCGAAGTGGGCCCTGGAGTGACGACCCACAGCCCTCCTGGGCCTCTCGGCTGTCTTCTGTCCCTGTCCGTGGGTAGCTTCCCCCAGCTTTTCCAGCCCTGGCTCTCGACTCAGAGGAGTCCCTGTGTGAGCAGAGCAAGGCTGCAGGAGGTGACCCCAGCAAGGCTATGGAGCCGTTCCCACTCAAAAGCTCCAGCAGGCAGGACATGTTCCTGTTAGTGGGAAACTGGACCCTTTGGGGAAAGGGCTTAGACTGCAAGGCCGTTAGGCTTGGTCTGAGTACTTTATCAGCAGGGCCAGGTAAGGCAGCAAATCCTGTGACCAGTTGTGAGCTGTTTATGAATACCAGTTTTTTTAAAATGTATTCTCTTGTCTTAAAAACCATATGTTTTATCAGATTCTTATAACTCCCCACTCTGCCCCTCCCCCCTTTCAGTTTTTTCCAGTCAGGGTTTTTCTGTAGCCCTGGCTGTCCCAGAACTATAGACCAAGCTAGCCTCAAACTCAGACATCCTCCTGCCTCTGCTGCTTCAGAGCTGGCATTAGAGGTGTGTGGCACCAGCTAGCTACTTTACACCTGTGTCGTTATTTAAACTGATGTAGTCCAGGCTGGCCTCGGACTTGCTGTGTAGCCGAGGATAACCTTAAACTCTTTAAACCTCCTGTCTCCACCTCCCAAACCCTAGGATTGCAAGCACAGGCTACCGTTTTTATGAGGCACGAAGTAGGAATCCAAACCAGGCTTCATGTGGGTGAGGCAAGAAGTCAAATAACTGAGCTACATCTTCAGTGTGTGTGTTCATCTCTCTCTCTCTGTCTCTGCCTCTCTCTCTCTCTCTCTCTCTCTCTCTCACACACACACACAGAGGTTCTCACTTGTGTAGCTAACCTTGAATTCTTAATGTTCCTCCCTCTGCCTCCCAAGTGCTAGAATTGTAGTCTTGAGCCACACATCCTGCTAGCCCTTAAAAAAAGCAAAATCTATGCTTTGGTTGTAGGCCTGTGCTTTGGAGCAGCAGCAGGAGTTAGCTGGCCCTTCCTCCCTGGGTTGATACAGTTCCAACCCAAAGCTCAGGCCTTGGTCATTGTCATTGGTCCATTCATGTTTCTGTGAGCCTTTCTCTCCATAATGGAAATACTTTTATCTTAAAATTATTTTTTAATTATAAAAGCAATATATCCTTGTTGGGGTTCAACAATGGAGAAGTGAGTATTTTCTGTACTTACCAGAAGTAACTGCTACCCAGACCCCCCACCTCGTGTGCACACCAGTATCTATACAATAACATAAATGGGATTCCTTTATAGGAGCCGTGGTGGTGTCAGTGGCTTTGATTACCATGCTGCATCCTGGACACATTTTCCCACAGCAACACTCGGGTTTCATGACAATTTTTAAGAAGAGGCTTTTGGACGTGTTGACAGCAGGCTCCCTCACTGACATCCAGCTGGGAGCCTGGCCAGGCTGGGCACTCAGTGGATGGCAGCAATGGCTGGCTTGGAGCTGGAGCTTGGAGGATGCAGGGCTGGGGTCCACCCATTCAGGCACGCCGCAGGGACTGCCCCAGCTGCTCTCCACGCTTTGCTGGCTCCTGACACTTTCTCATTTTCCGTCTCATTGATTACAGGCCCCAAGTGGCAGAGTGGGGGTGGGGACGGGAGGGGAAATAGAGAGAAACAGTGGGTAGGGAAGGCATGGAATGACCCTGTGAACAGCTTGAATCCACTGCCGCCTGAGATGCCCAGGTCAGGAGAGGGAGCCAAATACTCAGGACACGAAGAGACTATGCGTACGGACTGGATGCCAGCCTATACCCTTCAAGAGGGTCTGAAGGGACTCCCTGGGGTCACCTTCCTGTGACCCGGTGATGGTGTAGGACCTCAGCCTAGCCTCCTGTCTCACCCCAAACCCTTGAAGCACTGGCTATCCCCGATTTAGCGCACTGGTGCTTCCAGACCTGGGCCTCTAGGTCCAGTTCTGGTGTCACCTTATGCCAATTTTGGTCACCGCCACCCTTGAATTTCAGCTTTCCCAGTGGTGACGTAAGGATTCCCTGACGCTGTGGGTGCAAGCATGCCTGGGGTGTGGAGGGCATTTGTAAAAAAAAAAAAAAAAAACGTACAAAAAATTTTGGAGTAAAACCCAGGAAGCAGAGGACTAAAGTGACCTGGCACGCTGGCACAGACAGGAACTAACTGTATTGAGTCTCAGTTCTGTGCAGAGGACTGAAGTAAGGAGTGGTATTTGCAAGCTACAGATAAGGAAACTGAGGCCAAGCTGGTCACACAACTCTGGCTGTCAAGAGTTGAGATTTGCTGGAGTGATGGCTAGCACTGTCTGCTCTTGCAGAAGTCCTGAGTTCAATTCCCATGGTGGCTCACAACCATCTATAATGTGATCTGGTCCCCTCTTCTGGCCTGCAGCTGTACTCAATATATACGTAAAATAAATATATCTTTTTAAAAAAAAAGAGTTGAGATTTAAACTTTGCTTTGGCTGGCAGGAGTCAGGGTCGTTTCCTCTGCCTCTCTGTCCTCCTTCAGGCACCAGCTACATCCTGGATAGAGGGCAAGACCAGGAAGCTATTCTCTGAGCATTCTCCATCATTCATGATCACTCCCTCCCCTGGGAATACAGGAAACCCCTTATCTGCAGAGTTGCCATCGCCCTTCCTATTATCCTCAGCCCATTTGCTTATCTGCAAGTCCCTTCCTCCAGGTACCCTTCCCGCTGATAAAATCTGTGGTGGGGGAGAGGAGAGGTGAGGGAGCTGAGGGGGCGGGTAGGGGTGGGAGGAGCTAGAGAGAACACAAGGCAAGGGGAGGACCAGTCAGTCCATCAAAGTCCTGGCATCCCTAGGCAGCTGAGTGACTTGGGGGGAGGAGGGAGAGGCATAGGCAGGGAGCAGAGCTTGTGAAAGTGCAGCCAGGAGTCTTGAAAGGAGCCTGGAGACCACAGGCAGCTAGGATGTGGCATCTAAGAGGCTTGTGCCACACAGTTTGAACTGGAGACACCAGGGCAGAAAGACAGGTCCTGCCTTTCTCACTGGGAAGCTCAGAGTCTCACTGCACTGTGTTTGAGAACCACAGGTCGAGACTTCGCAGTACAGGACAGTCTGTCAGACTCAAGAGGAAGCATTAGAATGGTCGGTTCCACTGGGCTGGAGAGATGGCTCAGCAATTAATAATGCTGGTCTTTCAGAGGTCCCGAGCTAACTCCCCAGCACCCACATAGTGGCTCACAACCATCTGTAACTTGAGCCTCATGGGATCCAGTGACCTCTCATGATATGCAGATAGGTGTACATGCATACAGAACATCTGTATACATAAAAATTGGGGGTGGGGGTGGCACATGCCTTTAATCCCAGCACTCAGGAAGCACAGGCAGGCAGATCTGTGTGAGTTCAAGGCTACCTGGTCTACAAAGCGAGTCCAGGACAGCCATGGCTACACAGAGAAACCCTGTCTCAAAAGAACAAATCAACACAGCAAAACCTTATCTATCTCCAGCCCCTTTCAGGAACTTCACTAGACACTAGTCAGAAAGGGGTGCTATGGCACACTGGCATCCAGGAACCAGTCTGTCTGGGAGCAGTGCTCTCCCCCGCCCCCACCCCCACCCCCGCGGCTGGTGTCATGACAGCTGGGGCAGCCAGAGGGATTCTCAAGATCCAGTGGGATGGAAAACCCAAAAAACGCTGCTGCCCAGTTCCCGGCAGGTCCCCTTGCCTCTCCTGCCTCTGTGCTGTAATTTCTTAGGTGGGTGACCCTTCATCCCTAACTCTTCTGCCTCCCTTCACCCATCTCAGCAGGCCTCACTTTTCCTGGCCTGAACCTCAAGTCCACCCCATCAGCACCACTTTCCAAAGGGTGCTGAGAAGATGCAGGCCAAGAAGGCTCAAAGCCTGAGGCTACAGATGCCGTTCTGATCACCCAAGATCCCACAGACAAACTGGATCCTTTTGCTGAGAGGTGAGAAAGTGTGTGAGCAAAGTGATGGGAAGGAAGGGCCAGAGTGGGCTAAAGGAGCCTGTGCCTCTAGGGGTCAGTCTTGTCTCCAGCCAGGCTGGGGCATTTCCCTCAGAGGACCTGACTCAAACAGCGCTGACACCCAATCCCATTTCCGTATGTCAAGCAATAAGGCACCGATTTTAAAAGGGCTGCAGCCAAAAGCACAGGGAGAAACAAAAGGACCAAACCCAGGGAAAAGCTTCCCCAGACCAGGAGCTTCAGAGTCCACGGGTAGCTGAGTCACTTTTCCCTGCCTCTACCGTGCCTGAAGAGCGCCCTGCCTCCTTCCCCTAAACCCTTCCCGGACCAGACCTGGACCACTCAAGACTCCTGGGAGGTGCTGGTGAAGAGGCTGCCCTGTGTGGCAACTGTCCTCCAAAGGAAGGCAGGCTGGCTTGAGGCTTGCCTCCCAGGCCTGAGCTCAGCAGCACTGCTGATGAAGGAATGAATGGATGGAAGGAGCCCTTGGAAGGAGCCCTTGGCCCATTCCCAGCTGTCAGGGTAATACACGGCCAGTCACTGTCTGCTTTGTCCCAATATCTCCCACCGGTGAGCCAATAAGCCAATTTCTTTCACGCTGAGCCCCCCACCCCCCATACCTCAGGGATTACCTTGTGCTCCATGCTGGGTGACTTGCCTTTCCTTAGGCCCATCCTGGACCCTGATTCTCCTTGCCACAGGTTTGGTGACAAGCCTTGGGCTCATTGAAGTTCTCCCAGCCTTTCCTAGGGAATCTGAGGTCACAGTTCCGGTACTCTCCTTTCCTTTCCTTTCCTTTCCCTTTTCTTCTTTCTTTCTCCCTTCCTTCCTTCCTTCCTTTCTCTTTTTCTTGACAGGGTTTCTCTGTGTAAACTTGGCTGTCCTAGACTCACTTTGTAGACCAGGCTCACCTCAAACTCACAGAGATCCACCTGCCTCTGCCTCCTAGAGTGTGGGGATTTCAGGCATGCGCAACTGTGCCCA